TTTTTTTTTTTTTTTTTTTTTTTTTTGGTGCTGGGGATGAACCCAGGGCCTGATGCATACTAGGGAAGTGCTCTACCAGTAAGCTGCATCACCAGCCCTATGAATAAAACAACAAACCAGGAAGAAGAAAACCTTTTTTATAGTGAGACACTAATCCCTGTGCGGCAACTTATCGAGGGAGAGTCATTAATGGATTCTAAAGCTAGTGGAATGGAACAAGGTATCTACAGAGCCTCAGAGAATATTAATTACAAAGGAAAATAAGTGTATTGGGTCTGAGAAATCTGGTAGCCCCCACCTCAACTAAGTGACCTTAGCCAGTGACAGAACAAACTAACAGGTGTCTCCTAGAGGTGCATGGGTGTGAGCACTACTGCTTCTGCACACTCCTGCAAAAACCCAGGCTTGTTCACACATGCACAGGAGGGGTAAGGAAGCACTAGAAACACAAACCATGGAGTAAGGAAAGAGCAGAGCTGTATATACTATTTCAACTTATTTCGGTCAAAACCATAGGGCCAGGGATTTAGCTCATGGTGCTGACACCTGCCTTGCAAGCAAAAGGTCTTGAGTTCGATCCCCAGTACAAAAAAAAAAAGCTCTAAACTATTTAAAGTAAGAAATTAAGAAAGAAATGTAATCAGTGTTAAGTGCAAGTCTTTCTGAAGTGTCCCACACACCAGCCTTCTCAGACAGAGGAACCTAAGCAGCACACCTTGATGTGGACACAGTGGCCACTAGGCTGACCAAGAGGGTCCTTCAAGAGGCAACTAAGTGGGGAAGGGCACAGACACCCCATGATCAGAAAAGTGCTATGTCAATCTCCTCTAGTGCTTTCCCTGGGCATTGTACTATCAGCTTTCCTGCATCTAGAATGCCTGCCCATCCATACTCATATGGTGCATTTCCTGTGGCTGGACAATCTGATACTACAGCAGGTGAGGAAGGCACACATTTGTTCAAAGTCTCATAACTCTCCTGTAAGTGGCTGTATGTTAACTACCACTGCTTCCCTGTACAAAAATATTTGGAAGTAATACTGGTTCTCTCAGGTATCAAGAAAGGGGATCAACACAGTCTTTGGAATGTCAAACTTTTCAAATCTGGATTCGGAAGGAGAGTATTATTGGCTATGAGGCTGTATATAGCCTTATACCCTATGGCACAGGCACCGAGGACATTACCTGATTTCTTGAAGAGCTTTTCTAAAACGTAGTCATCACCACTGTGTGCCTTGGGCTTGCTCTCAGGGCCTTCATCATGCCTGTGGTACCGCCTTCTCTTCACCAGGTGTGGCACTCGTGTGCCCTCAAACTTGGCATCTCTGCGGTGCTTGGCACCCTGGGGCTTCTGCTTCTTCTCCAGGGCTCCTTCTTCTGCTACATCCTGGTGCTTCGTTTTCGACTTGTGCTTACAGGAATGACTTCTCACCTGTCCATTCTCCTGAGGAAGTTCTGCTGGAACCTGGCCTCTGTCTCCTTCACCAGAAGGTCCCTGCTTCACAGCAATGCTTTCCTCGCCAGACAGGCCGGGTGCTCTGTCAATTTGTGGAGAACTGGAGCAGTACTCATTTCTGCCAGTCATGGGTGGCTCCTCTGGTCCAGACACTGCACCTGTCTCCTCGCTAACCCTGTCACTGCTAGTTACCCTGCTGCCTGGGTGAGGGTCACTTTTCAAAGGGCCACTTGTACTGGAGGTTACCATGCTTCCTTCAGCTCCTGTTGCCTTAGATTTATCTTCAGATGATGTGGCTACATTTGCAAATGTGTCAGAATCTGGGAATTTCCTGTATTTTGGAACATTCTGGTCTGTCCCAAAGGCTGGAGGAATCTTCCTTTTGAAATGGCGTTTGGGTGTTGGAACATCTGAACCAGTTCCTGTAAAAGGCAAAGCACAGCTAATACTAAGTGTATAAATCTTATGTAATTTATTACCTGAAATTAACGGCCTTTCTGTATTACCTGCAAAAATCGCACTTGTTTCAGTGCTCTGGGAGCCATCGGGGCTAGTCAGAGTAAACAGCTCATAAAGGTCATTGGATTTGAAAAACCGCCTTTGCTTTGGATCTTTTAGCACTCTGTTTGTCAAAAACTGCTTGAAGATTTGTCTGAAAGGATAAAAAATTAAGCTGACAGGAAACAATGCTTAGTTCTACCTGTATGTTCCAGTTATGAAACAATATGAGAGGGAGGTAATAGCTGCAGCTGTTTGAACAGCTAGATAATGCCCAAACTTTCAGCCTTGAGAAATGAGAGTTCAGCAAGTATGCAACGCTTCAGCTGGTTTCTAGTGTTTTATAGAATTCAGTTAGAAATGCTAATTATTTCTATCCAACAAGCTTTTTTTTAATCTTATTGAGTTTACTGGTACATTTAAAGTATACAGTACAGTTACATTCATCATTGGGATCTCATACCTTTACATGACAGATCTTGGTTCTCATTTTTCCCCATACCCTTGCCCTCCCTTCACCCCCCAGCCCCCCACTTACAAAGACTTTGCTTCCATTTTTTCCTTTTCTCATATTTTTCTTGTCCCTTATTTCCTTTCCCCTACTCTTCCCACTTCCCCTACACCTTTAGCCCTTTTCTTCCTATTTCATATTATCAGTTATACAATTTGTATACAGTTATAAAACTTTTTGAACCTACAAGGTTCACCACATTTCAAAAAATGCCTTTCACACACGAGCCTGTGACCCACAGCCTCTCTGTGCTGCAAGGAGCTGGCCTCCAGGCTTCTGTATCAAGGAGCCCTCTCTCAGGAAACTCTCAGCCACCACCATGCTGTGCCAAAGTCTCACCTGTAGCCCTGTGGCTCAGGTGTTCTACAAGGCAGCACTGCATCTTCAAATGTGTGGAAATGCCAAAATGCAGCTTCAACTTTGTATCTTTCACAATTTTTCTACAGGAGGCAGGAACACTTCTCTCAGATAACAGTGAATACAAAAGTTACATATAAGTGGTCCCTGAAGTAGGCTCAGGTACAACAATCATATTTGAAGGCATTTTAAAAAAAACAAACAAACAAAAAAAACTCATGTTATCTAAGCTTATGTTAATGGCAAAGAAAAAAATACTAAACAAAAATCTACATCCCTTAAATTACAGCTAAATATTATTCTAACACAGAAAATACTGTACAACAACACTTTAAAATACTCCCCACTCAAACCCCAGGTGCACACAGCAGGGTCTCGGCAGCATCTCACTGACCGGTGGTAAATCTTTTCCTCGATGGTGCCAGCCATCAAGAGCCGGTACACGGTGACCTGCCTCTTCTGGCCTATCCTCCAGGCTCGCTCCCGGGCCTGCAACAGAGAGAGATAGCTCAGCTCAGCAAAGGCCCTAACAGGGTGGTGCTGATGGAGGGACACAAAGGTGGAGGGCCGGTGCCTTTCACTCCCAGAGGCAGAATTTTGGTGAGTGTGGTCAAGATTGCACACCCAAAACCCACTAGTGTGGATTAACAGCCACCAACCAAACAGAACCAGACAGCTGGATCTGAAAGCGGAGTTTCCACCTCTGCCTGTGGTCCCTTTATCCCATGTTCAGCAGTGGATCCAAAATGGAGACGGCATTCAGCAGCCAGCCAGAACATGGGAGGATGACACCAGCCATGAAACTGTTCTCACACATCTTGTTCTGAGGTACGAGACAGACCTGCATGTCAGTGCTCGGGTTCCAGTCAGGGTCATAGATGATTACTCTGTTGGCCCCGGTCAGGTTGATGCCTATGCCGCCCACTCTCGTAGTCAGAAGAAACACGAAGATAGATGCATCCTGCAGGCAAGACAGGCCACGCAATGGGAGTGTTGTAGGGCAGTACCCGCTCTGTCTCCGGCTGCTCACACCATACGCAGAGCTGCTCCCAAAGCCAGCAATGATGGCTGCCTGGCGAACAGTGAGGCCAGAGCTCGTCACACAGCTCCCGTTCCTGATACTATGTCAGGAATATTTACAAACTGGGTTTCCAAGAAAGAAAGCACTTCCTTTACACACACACACACACACACACACACACACGTGTACCTTTGCAACTTCCCTATGCTCTCCAAGTGCACACGGTTACTGGCAAGAAATCCTGCTGCCCTCTGTCTAGCCCCAGAGGATAGCAGCCCAGGTGGCTGTGGCTGACACACAGCTGATCTGCCCATCTCCTCCCTGACAGCACTTGCTACCTCGTTATATCTTGCAATCAGCGGCTGGCGCGAGGCAATGGTAGTGCTACCGTCCATCTTGAGATAGGAGTACTTCTGGGCTCTCAGGAACACTTCGAGGATGTGCAGCATCTGTGGGGGAGAGAAGACTGCTGTACTTGTGTCTTTCACCACGCCTCCCCCGGTGGGCCTGTGGAGAAATCAAACTGCTACAAGAATATTTTTGGTATTTCTTACAGTTAATTCTTACAACTTTTATAAGTAGCCCAAACTCAGGTCTAAACTCACATGGACACCAGCATCACATCACGGGCTTTTTAAAAAGTCAAATTTGGGCACCACCTCCAGAGAAGACTCCAACCCTGCAAGCTGCTATTTTGCATCCATGGCAGACTTGCTCTGGAAGCATTACCTTAGATCATAGCTTAATTTTTAAATTAAATGTATAAGCCCTAAGAAGTGACTTGTTTCTTGAAGTCTCCACACTCACCTGTCTCGACTGAGAAAACAGCAGTACTCGCTGACCCTGTTTGTGCCATATTTTCAGCAAAGACTCAACGACAATCATCTTCCCAGAACGCTTCCAGTATCCAAACTGATCCTCTTCGAGTTCATCCTCTGGAAGGCGGCCAAGGTTCTTGGGGCCTCCGGAAAAGAGATCAGGGTGGTTGCAGATTTTTCTTAGGGCTACAAGTCCAGAGAAAATCTGCAATGCAAAAGAACATTAAGTGCACTTAGATTAACTTAGAGATAAGGAAGGATGGAATGGAAAGAGGCTGTTCCATATATGATGTGGATTAAAGTCATTCTTCATCAGCTTTTGAGCTTCTTCCCTAATCACAGCATTGTTAGGCATTGGGAATTAATATTCACTCATCTTCCCCTGACCGGACAACTTCTCAAGCAATAAAACAGCTCTACTGGACTGAACATGTCCACAGTAGGGGCCATATGCAATTGCTAATGACTCATTGCCCCTCACCCGAAAAACAGTTACACAATACTATAAACTTCATACAAAGAAACACTGTCATAGTTTAACTATGATGCGTCCTCCAAAGACTAATGTGCTGAGAGCTTGATCCAACATGCACCAATGTTCAGAGGGGCCTACAGGGTGACTGGGTCAGGGGGGTACAGACCTTAAGAGTGAATGAATCCACTGATGCGCTAAAGACGTTGGCATGGGTGGAGGAACCAGGTCACCAGAGGAGCACCTTGAAGGCATACTGTGTCTCAGCCCCCTTCCTTTTTGTCTCTTCCCCTGCTGCCTCTCCTCCACCATGCCCTTCCGCCATGATGTTTCTGCTCTGGCATCAGCTGACCATGGACTGAAACCTTTAGACAAAATAAGTCCTTCCTCTTTTAAATTGCATATGGCGGGTATTTTGTCCCAGCACCAGAAAGTTGACCAATACCGTCAGTCACTTTGAAAATGCATATCAGAAATACCACCCATGACAATCCAACTTTGGAGGAATCAGTCATAGGATTATCAAATGCATAAGCACCTTACTAAAAGTTCCAGTTTAAGGTATTAGCCAGGTTAAAACTTATTTACTTTCTTGTTACCACTGCCTCAGAGAACAAATCTGTGTGGGAAGATGTGGATGGTGGCTCATGTGTTAGAAGCACAGGGTGAGCACGCCCTGGCCCTGGTTCTGGCCCTGTGCCCGCCAAGGGACCCAACTGAACTGTAAGAATGAGTGAGCGTTCACAGCTTTCAGAGTGTGACTCAGAGCAAACCTCTGGCATGGAAGCTCAAGTGTGAAAGAATACTCATGAAGTTAACAATCACAGGGTGCAGCAATTTTACTAGGAAACAGCACTTAAATGAGTAAGGATCTGAGCAAGTTAAGAATACTGTCAAAACTCTCAACAGCCTCTCTAACGTTTTCTTCCCATTAGACCTGTACCACGCAATACCACAGCTCCCAGCTACATGCAGTATACAGCATGTGAAGTACGGCTGGGCTGCATGGTGATGTGCGGCAAGTGTAGAATACACTCTCAATTTTAAAGACAATACAAAAACTCAGGAGTAAAATGTCTCATTAATCATTTTTAAATTCTGGTTACATGTTAAAATAGTATTTTAGGGGGTTGGGAATGGATCTCAGTGGGGCTGCACCTACCTCTCAAGCACAAGGACCAGAGTTTGATCTCCAGTACCCTCCCCCAAATAATAGTATTTTAGTGATATATTCAGTTAAAGAAAATACATGATCACAACTAATTGCACCTGTTTTCTTTTTGCCCCATTACCTTCTTCATACAACTACTAGAAACTGGGGCTTGTAAGCATGGCTGCCACTCTATCTACGTGACAGGAAATCTCAACCACTTAGCATGAAGGCACAGGAGGTAGGAGGGGAGACTCAGGAGAGCTGGAGAGCTGGGAATGACCTATAAGCTTCCTCTAGAGACCAGAGGTAGATGACAGCCATGAGAAAGGGTTCAAGAGTGAACCTTGAGTCTGGTGCTTAAGCACCTGTTGCCATGAACAAGGCACTGTGCTGCTGCTCATCTCCAGCAACCTCAGAGCACAGGAGCAGGGCTGGGGATTTCCGAGTGCACAGCACTACTCACTGGACCTCTGAAAAGGACAGGTAAGGACCATGGCTGCAGAGATGAGCAGTGGAGGATGTGCAAGTGTACACTCGCTGCAGGAAGCCAATGGATTGGATTCTGCAGTTGTGCTAAGAGTACTGCACAGAAACGGCTCTACCCAGGAATTGGCAGTGGGAGTGCCTTTCTTTACTTCTAGAAATCCCATGTGTCAAATCACTAAGACTCAATTTACAGGGTAAGGTACTTACACACAGAAAAGGAGAGGTGTTTGTCTACAGCTTTAGACTGAACACTGAATACAAGCCTAGTATACATGCCCGCTTCACAGGTCACCCATGCTCAGTGCTGAGCACTGCTCACAGCCATGACAGAAGATGTGCACAAATGCCTGCTCATCCCAGCAGTCCACGCTGACTCCCCGAACACTGCAGGGATCCCCTGTCCCTGAAGGCCCCACCATCATAAACACCAATGTATAATGCTATTCTTCACTAGACTGCAGAGTGGGATTCAGGTGCAACAGCCTGCAGGGAGACGAAAAGTTCGTGCTCCAGTTCAATGTGTGTTCTCTCATTACTGGAAGAGCTTCAAGTTTAACTGAGGTTCTCACCAAAATGTTTTCACGAGGGTCACAAAAAGCCCAACCCATGGCAGCATGTGCCATCTGATTAAGATTCAAAAGCCCAGCTTCCAGCCCCATACCCAGCACGTCTGTAATGTTGTCATGAGCTATGCCCACCCCATCAAAGTGTGCATGACGCACAGAAACGAGGAGCTCCAGAAAGCCAAATTCTACCACATTTGTATGATTCACGGAAGACACTACCCAGTAACTTCCATATTCCAGACAATGGTAGAGAGAGAACTTGAGTAGTACAGAAGGCATAGAATGATCATAAAGATGCTCCCTTCCCACTCTGGGACCAGGAGAATTACAGCCAGAGACTTCTGAACCAGAGTGAGACCTGGTTTCTACAATGCAGTGGTTCATGCACATTTATGAAGTACAGGGCCTTAGATATTGATGAAACACCTGAATCCTCATAACCCTCTCCTCATAAAGTTACAGAGAACTTTTGCAAATAATCTAAAAACCTACAAAATGTTAGGAAAATGTAAAATGACTTACACTGTCTCTAACATCAATCTGCTTTGTTTAGTTCAAAATTAACAGACACTGGAGGCATTGACCATGAAACGGGACATCTGGCCTCATCCCTAACCTTGAACAACCCCTTCCTGTGCACGAGAATAGAGAGCTAGATGATTCTTCAGGTAAACTCCCCAACTACAAGGAATTCTTACGTCTGGGTTAAAGTTAACTGTCTTGTTACTATAATTTGTACATGGGTAATGTGAACTGAGGAAATGAAATGTAACCCTGAATGAGGTACTCCCCAACTACAAGGAATTCTTACGTCTGGGTTAAAGTTAACTGTCTTGTTACTATAATTTGTACATGGGTAATGTGAACTGAGGAAATGAAATGTAACCACCTGAATGAGGTCATGGCTGTAAAACCTATAAAAGAAGAAGCTGCAACCCAATAGATGGTTGATCACTGGCACTGCCTTTCTGATTGCAATTCGACCCTTGCTGGCAAAATAAACTTTTTATTATTTTACTTCCATTTAGCTCATCTCTATGTGCATGTCACTTGCCAATTCCTTCTACAACAATAAAACAGGATTTTGGTCCTAATTCCAGTAAAATCCAGCAATGCACCTGACACCCAGCCCCTGGCTCTAGTCATCTTCAGCTTCCCCTGCACAGCTCAGGATGGCCCCTTCCCTGGGACGTCACTTTCTCTGCCCCTGAACACTGTAGTGGGGCTTCATGTCCACCTCACAGGCCCCATGTGAATGAACACAGATAATGCATGCGCCTCCCCCCCTACACCCCTCTGTCCACAGCTCATCTCTCCTACTCCATCTCTGGCTGACCTGCATCTCTCCATTGAGAATCTTGTAAACTTCTTTGGAATCGATGAAATTTTGGTAGACTTTATGCTGTTCATCTGTAAGACGGCAAAATAAGACCTACAGGAGAAAGAAAAACAAATCATAGCTTTAAAATATTATTAAAATAAATTAAAACATCAGTAAGGTTTCTAATCAAATGAGCACAAGACATGCAATTTAACAATGTACCTCTTATTAAAACAACAAACACTGATGACATAGCCCAGCCCGGACAGGGCATTTCTCCACTTCTGTGTCCAGCCATCTGTGGGCCCTGCCCCATGGCCCAGTAGCCCCTCCAGCCTGGTTTCCTGATCACACACAAGCTCAGGATCAGGTGCACTTCAGTCCATGCCCTCCTGCCCACTTGGAATGTCCCTTCCCTAGGGTTTACAAGTCACTAGACTCATCTCTGAGAGCAACCCCTACCCCTAGACTAACTGTGCCACGTATCCAAGTATCCCATGCCACATGTTTGCTGACTTTCTTCCTCATGATGCTCTGCTCTTTCTCCAACTTCACCTCTCTGCACCCATGTTCTTCCCCTCAAAGTGCTTTCACTCATGGTCTGAGTCATCTTTCTAAAATATGAACCTGAGCTTTTACAATTCTTCATTTCTTAAATTCACACTCAGACTTTCAACTAGAATGACAACAGAGAAAAAGCTGTTCCCTTCAAGTACAAAGTTACCTATATGAATTACTCACAGGTGCCTCTGCCTACAAATCCCTGAGGCAGCAGTTACAAGGGACCCTAAGATAGGTACAACATGGCCAGACCTCCAGGAATGTCCAGTCTATGAGGACAGATGCCATAGCAGGGACAACTGCCACCACAGTTATGTGCAGAGCACAACCCACAGGCCTGGTCAGTACTCAGGGAGATGGGAGGGAAGGGGCCAGGCAGGCATAGCTGTGTGTGTTGAGTAAAGCCTGGTGACATCTGGATCTACAGACCTGTTCATTTTTATCTGGCAAAGAAAGGCTCATCTTGACGTCTGACTTCATTCTCCGTAGCAGGTATGGGTTTATGGTGTCTCGTAAGACACATGCACATTTGTAAGCAGTTTTAACCTTTAATGAAAGAAAAGGAAAGGGAATTATTGTATGTTTAAGGAGTGTGTTTGTTCTTACCTCTCAACTGATTCCACTGCTTAATAATAAAAAAAGGACAAATAATTGCATAAAACTGACTAAAAATGGTTGGAAAATAGCTTGGAAAAACTCACATAAATTCTATATACTCCAAGAGACAGTAGCTTCCATCATAATACCATCAGTGAAACAACTTCTCCCACCAAAACGTACAACAAAAACAAAAAACCCCGACAATTTTGTGCCTTCTTCTTCTTCTACACCTGTTTTAGTTACTGTTACACAGTTAGACCCTAACACAGGGTCTTGACCAATCTCTAGAAGAAAAACTATTTTCAAATGAATTAATTCATAATCTTGTACTCTCCCAAAGCTACAAAGCAACTGCTATGATGCAAGGCTGAAGATCAGAAGATCAAAAATGCGGGGAGGCAGCAGGAGTAGGAGCCACTAGCTCATCAGCAGAGATGACTGCCTGTTGGACACCCCAGAAAGCAGCCTGAGAAAAGCCTGTGACCCTGAAATAAAAGGTCACTCGGCCTCAGATGGACCATATGGCTCCATAGCGACAGCCACACAAAAGGCCAATCTTCCTGTCTCAGCCTCCCGACCTGGGATTACAGGTATGTGCCACCCTGTCTATTTCATTTCATTATTCTAGCAGCCTCCACACCTTGTCTGTCCTACCTACAAAGGCCACCTGGGTCTCTTGTCCCTGCTGTCCTTCTCAGCTCACCATCCTCATCCCCAATAGCCCTACAGGTCCCTCACTGCCACCCTCCCTCCTGTGACAGCCATCTCAGCAACTCCAGAGAGCCATGTTACAGCGACCTGTTTGAAGCCTGTCCCATTGCTCCAAGGACTTCTGCCTTCCTTCCCCTTCCCACAGCCCCGCCCCAATAAGCATCCCCAGCCCAGTCCAGTGGGTCTATCACTGTCCTACCACACAACGTGGCTGTGCTCACAGTGCTGCCCTAACCCAGAAGGCCTCGCTCCTCACAGCCCATTTTCCCAGAAACCAGCCATGGGACACAACTCATTCCATCTTCCTGAACATCCCTTTCCTTAGCGTCTTGATATTGTACAAGACACACTGCCCAGGTCATCCTATACTGTGCGCTAAAACTCACTTGCCTTTGCTCATAGTTTCTGATCATGTATGACATCCCTCTGTTCCTTATCTGACAGAAATGTCCCAGGAACAACTAACACCACAACTGTTTCATTTCGATTATGCAAAGATAAGTTTTATTGGGTCAGGGATTTAGCTGAGTGGCTCTGCCACCTGCCTTGCATGCACAAGGATCCGAGTCCAATCCCCGGTACAAAAAAAAAAAAAAAAAAAAAAGTTTTAGGGGTTTCCTCTGAGTACGTATTTCTTGTGATTTAAAAAAAAAATTTTTTTTTTAAAATCTGGACAAATATGATCTGTCAACAGAAATCATTTTCTGATTTTTATCAGACACCAATTCATAAGCCTGGTCATTCTCCTTACATTCTGAAGCACTTTACTACAGTGTATAATATGTAGTAGGACCGTTTTAAACACTGAAGCACCCCTGTCACCTGCTGCCTGTTACCTGCACAGGAGAAGCATTGGCGTATCCCCCCATGGTGATGGGGACAGAGAACTGCTCCATAAACACAGGCAAGGTGCCCAACTTTCCCGGGAAGACAAAATCAAACAGCGACCACAGCTCTCGGAGGTTGTTCTGCATCGGCGAGCCAGACAAGATGATCCGATGGGGCGTGCGGAACTATTTCGGAAAGAAAACACCTTTCTGTTAAACTCGCCTTTCACAGATGACCACAGTCCCAACCCGGAAACACTCCTATGTAATGTCATTTGACACACTGACTCAACATCTCAGCTCTTCACCACTGGTCCTGTCCAACATGAAGGTGCTTTATGCAATTACAATTCTCCCATTATATTCAGGTGAAAAGAGGGGAAATATTGTTTATCATTCAAGTTGAATATTAAGGATTAGAGCTGGATTTGGTAATACTCAAATTATCAACCTACGTAAGAGACATTTTTGGATAACGTGAGTAATCACAATTTTAAAAATATGATTATGGGCAAGTATGAAGAAGCTCTTTACACAAAGCATCAGGAAAGACACTGAGTGAGTTACTAAAAGCGGTGCCTATTCCTAAATAAGCTGTTTCCCACCTGGAAAGCCCCCTGTAAGGTCATACCTGCTTGCAGGCCACGGTGACAGCAGCATTGGGGTTTCGAATTTTGTGTCCTTCGTCCAAGATCACATAGTGCCAGTCGTGCCTGCTAATGTCATCCTGCATCAGCCGAATGTAGGAGTAAGAGGTGATCAAAATTCCATGACAATGAGCAATGTCCCGAATCAGTTTCGCCTAAAACCATAATAAAATAGTAAACCCAGTTTTAAATCAGAAATGAAATAAAATGGATATAAATAAATGATACCCTTTCAATCATGGCACAACTGATAGAACTTTCTAAAAATGTGCAATTTTATACAAACATGATACAACTATAATGTGTTATAGGCATGGGAAATACACTTTAATCTGTGAGGTAGAAAACCCTGAGAAACCCACTATGGAGGAGTCTCCAAAGAGATAATAAATTATAAAATCAAACACTTCACTAATTTTTATTTTTCTGAAACATTTGTGCCCAGCCTTGTTAAACTTAAAGCAACTGAGTGGATGGAAGAGGATTATGTTCAAACAGATGCAAGACAATATAAGCAGACAAGGAAGATGAATCCAGGAGTTTTTATAAGATATAACATAAATTGTAGGCGGCTGGGATGGAAAGGATATAAAAGCAACGACTTAAAAAAATGATCTAAACATCGAGGAAAGACTTCAGTCTACAGGGAAAAACATCCCAGCATGCCAGGCAGAACTGAAGAAGACTTTTCCCTAGGCATATCCTGTAGGACATACACATACACAGGCAAGGTGCCCAACTTCCCCCGGAACACAAAGTCAAAGAGCAAGCACAGCTGAATTCCAAAAGTGGGAGTGGGGAGAGGATGCCAGCCAGAGCTTCCAGTCAGAACAAAGCACTGAACATCTTTCCTGCTACACTAAAGATGTCAGCAGCTAAGGAGAAAATGTAGTACATAATTGTTAGTGGGGGGAATTCCAGGCCCTAAATGTTCTAGCCATCCACACCAGCTGGCATTCTTGATGGGAAAAACAAACTCCAGCCTCAGACAGACAAGAAGTTAGAAAACAAGCTACCTGGAGGCTGCTTGCTCACAGAGAGTGTACAGCACAGATGGAGTGACATGGATGGTGGGGCCCTATGCAAGACCGGGGGTGCTGTCCCCATGTTCCTGCATGCTCCTCACAGAAAGCATCTTGGTGACCCTGTGCAAAGGCAGAGCCACCACTGCTCACCCCACTGTACAGATGAGCAAACTGTGGCTCAGATTCATAACCAGTGCACCAGGTCAGGGAGCCAGCAAGCAGTGTCACAGAAAGGACCCACACCAAAGCTACAACCACTAAGCCTCGGCTGCACTCTTCTCCCTGCATCGCGGAAAGGTTCAGACAGGGAAAATTATACGTACAACAAACTGGCTCTTAAAATACACCATTCAAACATAACAACCAGATATAAATATTAGACATTTCTCAATGAGAATGAAACTGTTAAGGAACAAGCCAAAATATAAAAAGGGACATATTTCTAAGTGCCTTTGTAATTCCTAATCTGAACTGAAATTAGGGGAATATAAAAGTGGAGAGGGTAGGATGGGTCATAGGTAACAGATGCTACTTACTTCTTAACTGTGTGAGAAAAATAATTAAAATACCTCAGTCAAGAATTTAAGTCTATTATTAATAGTTCTTAGATCCATATACATACTAAAAAAGAAACAATGCACACCTACAGAGGAAATACAACAGATATGAGCAAAATTCAAGGAAAGAAGAAACAGGAAACAAAACACAGTGTCAGCTTTCAGACTAAAGGCCCTGGGAGGGCAGGACAGGACAAGAGACCTCAGGGTGGGGGTGGGGTGTAGTCTGGCCTTGTGCTGAAAGGAGAGGCAACACTCTGCAGCATGCAGTTGAAATGCGGGAATTAACAAAGCTAGGCAAGGAAATACAAAGTAAAAAGGCAGGATTAGCAACACAGTATCAGTATCAGACAAATAGGAATAAAGAGGATATTGTATACTGTCAAGGGGAAGATACATGATCACGGAAGAGCCACGAACCTCTATCTGCCTTTAAGCACCGCGACAGACAGAAGCAAGTCCCTGAAAAGCTGCCTGGACAGAGGGATATGCCATAGTCCCCCAGAGGCCTGACCACTGTGTTTTGCACAGACAGAGTAAGATTAACAGGACAAAAAATTACAGTAGTGGATGCAAAGGACTTGGGCATCAGCACAGCCCCAGACTGTCCAAATACTCATTCCTTACAAAGATGCCATTCGGAAAGGCTGAAATCATGACCTGCCATCAGCTCAACAGGCTAAAGAAGGAAAATGACGAAATCAACAAGAGAAAGACAATAATCAGCAAATCTTTAAAAATCTGGTAAAACTGATAAAAATAAAAAACAATTCTTTGAAAAGACAAAACCAACCAAACCAACCTTTGAGAAGTCCAAAGAGCACACATATAGATTTAGAAATGTCAAGAAACAGTCACAGACTCAGAGGACACAGCTCACCATGCTAAACACAGCATAGCATGTCAAACAAGTGAACACTGAGAGAGGACGTAAGACAACGTCCATCACCAAAGTGCATGACCCAAGAAAAACCAGCCTGGCCCTGAGGAACCTGAACATGCTGTGCTCCTGTGTCCATGAGTCCACCATACGCGAGGAATTTACCAACAATGCAGGAAGAGGACCAGGGATCTGAACTGCTCACGCATGGAGACAAGAGTGCAACCCAGATAAATAGGCCATAGCCAGCAAATCCAGGGTTCAGAGCCACAGATATGTATACAGCCCCTCGATAGAGGGCAGTTACTTTTTTTTTTTCTCCTTGTCCCTGCCCTCCCTTCACCCCTCCTCCCCTCCCCATTTACAAACACTTTATTTCCATCTTTTCATTTTCTCACATTTTTTCTTTTCCCTTATTACCCTTCCCCTACCCATCCCACCTTCCCTACACCTTTAGCCCTTTTCTTCCCATTTCACAATGTCAGTTATCTCATTAGGATCTTATGTACTATTACAGTTTATTCACACCAGAGAAACTATTTGGTATTTACACATGTGTGACTTATTTATTTCACTTAGGAATATATCCGCAATATGTATCTATTTTCCTATGAATGAATGTAATTTCTCGTTCTTTATGGCTGAGTAATATTCCATTTTATAGAAAAACCACATCTTCTTTATCCAGTTTCCAACTGATGGGCAAATGGGCTGTTTCCAAGTTTTAGCTATTACAAACTGTGCTGCTATAAACATAGGTGCGCATACATCACTGTGATATGATTCTTTTAGTTCTTTTGGAAAGATACCCAGCAGAGGGATTGCTGGGTCAAATGGAACCTCTAGTCCCAGCTCTTTGAAGTATCTCCATATTGATTTCCATAGTGGTTGCACCAGTCTGCACTCCCACCAGCAGTGGAGAAGGGTTCTTTTCTCTCCACAACCCCAAGAGGGCAGTTACTTTATAGATAAGAATTACCACTATTCCGGCGCAATGATGTCGAGACTATATGACACGTGTGCCACAGCAGGCATACAAGCCAGCCCAATCGCCCCAGCAGCAGAGCACTGGATCTTCAGATTTAGTTGCAGTGTTGGCACTCTGTGACGAATAAGTGGGTTTGGGTTGCAGTTTGGGTACTGGGTCTCTAAAAGGTCCTCCATCACTGCTCTAACCTAATAAGGCTTATCACAGGAATATAAGGACAGCTAAGTATCAGGAAGGCTGAGTATCGTGGAATCACAACAAACTCGTATAAATTGTTGTACAGAAATCAAAATCATCCAAAAGATGACAATTTTATTAATATCTTAAAACAGCTAGGAATAAAATGTTTTAATTCTGCAGAGTATAAAAGAGTATAAAGAGGGTGGAGAAAATTTTGAAGGAACAGAATTCAGTGGGGCGGGGACACAGGGATGGACTGTCTTGTCATGTGTCACAATACACTGGACATTTCAGGAGCGAATGAAGTTGCTTTACAGATGGACCTCAAAGCCTTGGACCGGCAGGAGGGCTGACAGGTGAGAGCAGCATCATTACTGTGACTGCTCTCACATGCACAATATTACCCTGAGGGCCACACCTGAAGTGACCTTTCCCTGACCTGATCTTCTGATGTCTGCAGCAGTCCACAGTGGGCCACAGAGCCTTGCAGACCTGTACCTCCCCTGACTACGTGCTGCTCCTTGGTCGCTGGTGCCCAGTGTAAAAATGTACTGTTCAGAACGCCAGGTGCTACTCCAGCACCTCCCCAGCCAGGCTTGCAACTCTCACAAGCCAGAATGAGCTCCATAGCGCCTCCACAACTGAATTTTCTACAGGGATTCTAGGCAGCAGTCCTGAATCTGTCCCTGTGCTCCCCTCTAGAAAAGTGGGGCTGCTAGAAACCATGGCAGCAGGTAGGGCAAGAGGTGGCAGCAAAGTGAGCCACGAGACTGTTCCATGCCTGGGTCTACTCTAGGCATGAGATGTGCACACAGGGGCAGAGAGAGGACAGCGACTACAGATGCTTGGGTTTGAAACAGAGCAAAGTTAAATCGGCACCCATATTTATAAAATGTCCACTGTGCTCAACCAAATGCTGCAAATGCAGCTTCACCTGCTCTCTGTAACTTGGAGCCCCTGATGCCCAGCCTTGCTGTGGTCACCCAGTTAGCCTCAAGGACACACCCAGAGGCATGTCTGGACATCATCTGTGAAGATGTGTGCATTACCACAGATAAACAGGACACCGAGCCTCTCAAATATATACTACTGGAGCGATATCTAGCTTCTTCAACTTGCGTAAGGATCAAAGTTTATCTGGAGTAATCTGTAATATCAGCTATAGAAATTATAGAATTCCGTGTTCAGACAGATGTACAACAATTCACAAGAATTTATAGAAGATTTGTAGATTTATAATTTATAGGAAGAGTAAATTGTGCAAAATGTCTCTACTGAAAACATAATCTCCACTTAGCTGCTAGGTAGCAACACATCCAAGACTATTTGTCTTCACCTGATTCAATCTCAGGATTCTGTGACTGCCTAGACTAGAGTTTCAATAATGGTGAGTTGTTGAATATTATAGACGTCTCTATCCAAACACTTAAGACAAATCATCTCAGGCGGTTTCAAATTAAAAGCTTGTAAAATATGTAACCTCTCCTAGTTTTTGCAATTAATAGGGTACATCTGCAATTAGCCT